GAGAGAGAGAGAGAGAGAGAGAGAGAGAGAGAGAGAGAGAGAGAGGGAGAGCGCGAGAGAAAGACAGTAGAAGAGTGATGATGATGATGATGAGGAGGAAGAGGAGGAGGAGGAGGAAGAGGAGGAAAAGAAGAAGGAAAGATACACACAGAGAGAGAGACGGCTACTACCATGATTAAAAACGATTTCCTCCCACATGTCAGACAAGACAAAGACGCTTGAGTCTCATACACATAAAGAATTGCAGGAACGTACGGTATGCCAGCAAATCTGTTCTCTGACCCATATATCGCATCGTTAAAGAACAATAGCACGCCGGCGAAAATTAACACGAGCATCGCGACCGCCCTGCGCATGCGTGAGTGGCGGGGGAGGGGAGTATCTCCACGCGCTTTATGCGTGAGCCGGTAGCTGTCTAGACACTGTGGTATGCAAATCTACGCTAATGATGACACGACTTGCTGCTTCTCACGCGCAGCTCCCCAGCAGTCGTAAATCAGTTAAGTGCGACAATGTCGATGCGAGAGAACAGTAGCTGCTAAATGACGGGGACGTGCCTCATGAAAAGCCACCCACCACGCACGCGCAGAGACACTCGTACGCATGCAAACACGCACGCACACAGACATTCGTACGCACGCAAACACGCACGCACACAGACACTCGTACGCACGCATGCATGTATGGACGCACGGTCACTCGGCACTCACGCACGCACACAGAAACTCGTATGCACGCACGCACGCACACAGAAACTCGTATGCACGCACGCACGCAAGTATGGACGCACGCACGCACAAGTTCTCCTCTTCAACAGGAGCTGTTCAAATACTTTCAAGCACAGACGCGTCCATCGCAGCTTCGCGCAGTCTTTACGATGAGAGATTTCGCGCCAGCCGTGTAAGCTGCCGCGTCGGTAATGGCTCGTTTCCGCATTACGCCACTCCGCGGTATTTTTCCAATCCGCGCCCTAACTCCCGCTGTAACGCACGCGCAGACAACAAAGACAGAGACACTGTCGTACACGCTGCGTGCCAGATTCCCCCGCCGCCCACCGCGGTCAGACACGTACGCCAAACTTACACAGAAGATATAAATACAATAAGATCATATTAAGACCAGTACGCGCAACGCTCGGGTGCAGGTAGACCGCTAATCACCTGACAAACACCTGCCTTGTGCATGAGAAAGTCAACGTAACGCACATGTGCAAATAACATCATCGCTTGCACGTCTTTAACTAATATCGCCGTCGGTTTTTAACCGGGGCGTTAGAACCAAAGGGTAAGCCATGAGCCGACGAGCGAAACTCAACACGCCCCCAATTAACACCGACAACAATCATAAACAAACCAACCAACAAACCAACCAACCAACCAACCAACAATTCCCGGCTACCATTACCAAGTACACCACCCGAGGCACCGATAGCAGGCACCCTGAGGAATGTGGTAAG